CCACCCTGCAGGTGACTATCTCCGTACCGCAGCCAGAGCAGCAGTCCGATATCATCAAGGTCACTGGCTTGGTCCCCAACGTGGAGCGAGCCAAGGCCGGCCTCCTGGACAGGGTCAGAGAGCTGCAGGCTGAGCAAGAAGATCGGGTACTTCCCTTTGTTTAAAAAAAAAAAAAAGTTTTAAAGAAGACATAAAAACGAGTGCAAATTAATACCAAGTGGAGGGAGGGAGTGAAGGATGAATCGGAATGAGGGAGGGAAGAAGGAAGGAAGGAAGGAAGGAAGGAAGGAAGGAAGGAAGGAAAGCACGATAAGAAAGACTAAAAAGAAGTAGAAGCTGCTTCTGATTTCCTCTGTAGCGAACATGAAATGTCTCTTATGATTACCAAAAAGAGATCAGGGAACTTCAAGTCAGAACTTGCCCTGGGTCTCCCACAAAGAGTGGCAGCTTCCCCGCCTGCTGGTCCCCCCCCCCAAACTTGCTGATTTCCTCTCCTCTCCAGGCCCTGCGAGGGTTCAAGCTGACGGCGAGCGTGGAGCCCAAGTACCATCCCAAGATCATCGGCAAAAAGGGGGCTGTCATTTCCCAGATCCGCAAGGACCACGATGTCACTGTCCAGTTCCCCGACAAAGGGGATGAGCATCAGGTGGGGGGGTCTCTTCCCTCTTTGAGTGTGTGATCTCGGAGTAGCCGAAAAATACCTAGCTGGTATTCCAATGAGGCGGCTCGCGTTTCCCACAGAAAGCAAAGATTGCTTAGCCCCCTCCCCCTCCCTTGCCGAACTGCTAACTCCAAATGGGACTACTCAGTTTCCTGGCTTGATTGATATAAAATACATAAGGATAAAACGGGAGCTTGCCAAGGGCTGAGACCCCTGAATAGAATAGAATAGAATAGAATAGAATAGAGTAGAGTAGAGTAGAGTAGAGTAGAGTAGAGTAGAGTAGAGTAGAGTAGAGTAGAGTAGAATAAAATAGAATAGAATAGAATAGAATAGAATAGAATAGAATAGAATAGAATAGAATAGCAGAGTTGGAAGGGATCTTGGAGGTCTTCTAGATCAACCCCCTGCTCAGGCAGGAAACCCTATACCATTTCAGACAAATGGTTGTCCAATCTCTTCTTAAAAACTTCCAGTGTTGGAGCATTCACAACTTCTGGAGGCAGGTTGTTCCACAAATTAATTGTTCTGACTGTCAGGAAATTTCTCCTTAGTTCTAGGTTGCTTCTCTCCTTGATTAGTTTCCATCCGTTGCTTCTTGTCCTGCCTTCAGATGCTTTGGAGAATAGCTTAACTCCCTCTTCTTTGTGACAGCCCTTGAGATATTGGAACATGGCTATCATGTCACCCCTAGTCCTTCTCTTCATTAGACTAGACCAGGGGTAGGCAACCTTGGCTCTTTTATGACTCGTGGACTTCAACTCCCAGAATTCCTGAGCCAACTGTGCTGGCTCAGGAATTCTGGGATTTGAAGTCCACGAGTCATAAAAGAACCAAGGTTGCCTACCCCTGGACTAGACATACAAGAAAATGATTTCTCTTTCTTGCTGCTTTCATGCCCACTCTGCCTCCTCTAAGGACCTCATCACGATCACCGGCTATAAGAAAAACACCGAGGCTGCCCGAGATGCCATCTTGAAAATCGTGGCGGATCTTGAGGAGATGGTCAGCGAAGATGTCCGCCTGGATCACAGAGTCCATGCCCGCATCATCGGTGGGAGAGGCAAAGCTATCCGCAAGCTCATGGAGGAATTCCGGGTAGGGGTCTCGGAGGCTTTAGGGCCAGGTGGGAGACAGCGCAGGGGGCTTTCCCCTCCCAGGGAATTCTGGGAAAGAAGCCACAAATCCGTGGTGCCCCATCTCCATTTCTGCTCTGTCCATCTACTATAGATGGTCCATCTACTATAGGTTGTCCTCGACTTAACAACAGCTCATTTAATGACCGTTCAAAATTACAATGGCACAGACCTATGACGGTTTTTCACACGTACGACCATTGCAGCCTCCTCATGGTCACGTGATCGAAATTCAGACGCTTGGCAACTGACTCATACTTATGACGGTTGCTGTGTCCCGCGGTCACGTGCAACCTTCTGACAAGCAAAGTCAATGGAGGGGAAGCCAGATTCTCTTTCTAACTTAACAACTGCAGTGATTCGCTTAACAACTGTGGCAAGAAAGGCCGGGAAACGGGGCCCGGTTCCCTTAACAAACCGTCTTGCTTACCAGAAGGAATGGCTGAATGAAATGGTAGCCAGAGTTTTTTTGTTGTTGTTGTTATGGGTGGAAAGGAAAATCAACTCGCCTTGCTAAAAAGTAACATCATCTTCGGATGGAGCTCGGCTTTGTGCGTTTGTTTGGGACAAATGTGACTGGCTCTTATTTTAAGTGCCCGGTTTGGGGTTTTAAAGCTCTGGGATTTTCTCAAGTCAACTTTTGGAGACCAGCCAAGATCAGGTAAGGGGGTCACCTTGTTTCAGAAGAGCTTTTTCTTCTCGGCAGGTGGATATCCGCTTCCCGCAGCCGGGTTCCAGTGACCCGGACAGAGTCACCGTGACGGGGCTGCCTGAGAACGTGGACGATGCCATTGACCACATGCTTAACCTGGAAGAGGAATATGTGAGAGGGAATTTGCATGGGTTTTGGGGGGGGGGGTGTGTGTGTGAGAGAGAGAGAGATGGGGAAACTGATTAGAAAACGGTTGAATGAACAGAGTAGAAGGGATCTACATCTATTTTCTCATCAGCTGTACAGCCGCTGGGGGACACTTTTTGAGACCAGATTCCCAATGAAAAACTTTTCCCAAGGTTGCGGGCTCTGTGTCCCCGCCTCACCAGCGTAGGCCGAGACAAGAAACCAATTCCACAAGACAGTTAAAATTACATTGGTTATTATTGGCTAGCTCAGTGGTTCTTAACCTTTTTGAACGAATCGCCCCCTTGAGCCAATGAGGAAGTTGTCATCGCCCCCCCTCCCCCAACATAACCTCTCAATCACAACATAGGAAATAATTCTTCAATTTATGCAAACACTTTTTTTTTTGTTTTCTTTAAAATTGTCAACAGGACATATCGATGCAAATCATTTATTTCCAGTCTTTTTCCCATATCTCAACTGTGTGAAAAATCTTCCGGTGCCACCCGGCACTTTATTCCCAAACTTCGTGATACGTGTATTTCATTATTATCTTATTTATTCAAGACACTTACATGTAATGACCACTGAAAACAAAATTCAGTTGCAAGAAAGTGAAATGCCCGAAAAGAAAAACAGTAACATTTAATGACTGAATTACAAGTGAAATTTAAGACGCAAAAAGAAATATAAAAAGGGTAGAGGCTGCTGCGCAACGCACATGAAGATAAGCGATGCGCATTCACATATGTACGCCGTTCTGTACATGTGGAGCTGGAGGAACATTTGAAAACACAATTCAATCCACTAATAGCGAGCGATCTGATGTTTTTGTACGACAGATATGCAGCGATTCACTGTACGAAAAAGTCTCAAGTGTCCCCAAAACTTCTCGCTCCGTCGCCCCCATATCGCCCCCTTTTCGTTCCTTCGCCCCTGCGTCGCCCCTTTTTGTTCCATCGCCCCCCTGAAAAACGAAATCGCCCCCTTGGGGGGCGATATCGCCCAGGTTAAGAACCACTGGGCTAGCTCAGTGATGGCGAACCTTTTAGAGACCGAGTGCCCAAACTGCAACCCAAAACCCACTTATGTATAGTCGGGTGCCAGGTGGGCGTGGCCCATTGGGTGGGTGTGGCCCATTGGGTGGGCGTAGCTGCGGTGCTAACGGCAGGCTGGGTGGGACTAAAAAGTTCAATCAATCAATTCCAACTTTGCGACATTTCTTTTTCCCCGCGAAAAGTTGACATTGATTGAACCTTTTTTTTGTTTTTTTTGCACACGACGGCAGAGGCCTAAAGCGAAAAGGTTTTATAAAACCCAGCTGAAGGCCTAGGACTGGGGCGACGGCGCGCGTGCCCACAGAGAGGGCTCTGCGTGCCACCTGTGGCACCCATGCCATAGGTTCGCCACCACGGGGCTAGCTGCTTTTCCTCTTTTGCCACTACCGTATTTCCCCCCAAATAAGACCTAACTGGAAAATAAGCCCTAGCGTGATTTTTTTTCAAGATGCTCGTAATATAAGCCCTAGCCCCCCAAAATAAGACCCATTTAAGATCGTCAGCCAGACTGACACATTTAGTACCGTATTTGCCCCAAAATAAGACCGAATGCGTCTTTTGGAGCAAAAATTAATGTAAGACCCAGTCTTATTTTCAGGGAAATACAGTAGTTGCAGGTAGAATCATTAATTGGAGCTTCCACAAGTTAATGACCTGATCAGCAGGTGCATTTGAACAAAAGAGTAAGCTTGGGTAATCTGGGTTTTGCAAACAGCTTGGCCTGTTCCACAGCTCCAACCTGTTTCATAAGTTTTAACGCTTGAGTGGGTGGTGAGATCTTTGACCCTGGCAGGGTTTCGGTAATCCAGTTGTGTGGTGTGAAAGTAGTAATTGCATATTCTGGGCACGCATCCCCAAAACCCAGTACCCAAAGGAAATGAGATGCCTGTTCTTTGCGCCTCGAATGCCCTCTTCAAGCAAGAGCAGGAAGGAGGACGTGGTGCCAGCTGCCTGCAGGGCAAGGCAATGAAGTGGCCATATAATAACCAGCATGAATCAGTCTGAAGGTTTGTTGTTTACAAAGCACTCAGCCTCACAATCTCTTGTGACGTGACAGTTGTGATGTATTTCCGACTCTAGTGGTGGACTCCAAAAGCAGCTGTCTGGTTCTTTTGAAGAAAACCTCTGTGCTGGTTTTCTTTTAGAGGGCAAGAACAGGCATGACTTTCCCATTCCACAAATAAAATCTCTCTCTCTCATCTCCCCCTCTCTCTCCCTCTCTCTCTCTCTCTCACACATACACACACACACATATCTCCCTATATCTCTGCCTCTCTCTCTCCCTCCCTCTCCCGCATATCTCTCTGTCTGTCTACTTGTATATCTATCTATCTATCTATCTATCTATCTATCTATCTATCTATCTATCTATCTATCTATCTATCTATCTATCTATCTATCTATCTATCTATCTATCTATCTCATCTCCCTATCTCTCTCTCTCTCTCTCTCTCTCTCTCTCTCTCTCTCTATCTATCTATCTATCTATCTATCTATCTATCTAATCTCCCTATCTCTGTCTGTCTGTCTGTCTGTCTGTCTGTCTGTCTGTCTATCTACCTACCTACCTACCTACCTACCTACCTACCTACCTACCTACCTATCTATCTATCTATCTCAGTGGTTCTCAACCTGTGGGTCGGGACCCCATTTGGGGTCGATCAACCATTTCATGGGGGTCGCCAAGCAAGGATGTCCGCCATTTTTTTTGTCCGCCATTTTTCCCCCTTTTCCGGCGGGTGCCTTACCTCCCTTGGGCTGGGCCAGCTGGTGGTCGGCCTGCTCTGTCTCTGCCGCTTGCCAGCTACGCTTCGGCCGGCGCAGGGGGCGGAACCAGGCATGCGCGGCACTCCTGGGCAGGGAAAGTCCTCGACTTACGATCGGTTTAGTCCTCGACTTACGACCAGTTTAGTGCTCGACTTACGACCGGTTGGGGTCGCGGCATTAAAAAGGTTGAGAACCACTGATCTAGCTAGCTATCTATCTCATCTCCCTATCTCTATCTATCTATCTATCTATCTATCTATCTATCTATCTATCTATCTATCTAATCTCCCTATCTCTGTCTGTCTGTCTGTCTATCTATCTCATCTCCCTATCTCTATCTATCATCTACCTACCTACCTACCTACCTACCTATCATCTATCTATCTATCTATCTATCTATCTATCTATCTATCTATCTAATCTATCTATCTATCTATCTATCTAATCTCCCTATCTCTGTCTGTCTGTTTCTGTCTATCTGTCTGTCTGTCTATCTATCTATCTATATCATCTCCCTATCTCTATCATCTGTCTGTCTCTGTCTGTCTGTCTGTCTATATCTATCTATATCATCTCCCTATCTCTATCATCTGTCTATCTCTGTCTGTCTGTCTATATCATCTCCCTATCTCTATCATCTGTCTGTCTCTGTCTGTCTGTCTGTCTATATCTATCTATCTATCTATCTATCTATCTATCTATCTATCTATCTATCTATCTATCTATCTATCTATCTATCTATCTAATCATCTACCTCTCTATGATCTACCTACCTATCTACCTAATCATCCTCTCTCTCCCTCTCTCTCTCTCTCTCTCTCTATCTATCTATCTATCTCATCTCCCTATAGATGATAATCTAGCTATCTAGCTATCTTCTATCTAGCTATCACCTATGAATCATCTGTCATCTATATTATCTATCAATCTATTATCTATATATGTTTCTATTTATCATTAATTTATATTAACTCAACCTATGATCTATTATCTATCCTCTATTGTTTATTTATCATCTTTATCTATCTATATATCTATATCTACCTACCAAGTTTATATAGCTGCCCATCTCACAGCAAAACAAAAATTGGGGAGTTACCGTCCACAGGCCAGGAATCTTTGAATACATCAACGGTGTCTTTTCTGGCTCTTTAACGGACAGCTGTCTCGTTGCAGATGATGGATGTGGTGGAAACGGAAACCATGGCTGCATATATGAAGCCCCCCTCCCGCTTGGAAGAGGAGCCTCGGGGCCCTGCCAAGGGCTTTGTAGTGCGTGACGCTCCCTGGAACGCTTCTGGGAACAAGGTTGGCCACACAACACCGCCTGGGGTCCCTCCTTCACGGGTAGCTCCTTAGCTTGACCAGTTGAGCAGATCTTGATAAAGAGTTGGAGGACTCAAGAGATCCATCTCCCTAGTTCGGGAGTAGGCCACCTTGGCTCTTTTATGACTCGTGGACTTCAACTCCCAGAATTCCTGAGCCAGCATGGCTCAGCTTGGAAACCTCTCCCTTTCCCCTCAGCATGGCTGGCTCAGGAATTCTGGGAGTTGAAGTCCACGAGTCATAAAAGAGCCAAGGTTACCTATCCCTCCTGCCCTAGTTCCAAATTATTTGTGGTTGATCCCACAGTAGCCAGGTGTTTATAGATTGAATTTGGCATTTTTAATCCTCCTATTGAGTCCTTCCCAAAGACCCAGGATAGGCAGATGGGCTACATTACAGGTGGTCCTCGACTTTCAGCAGTTCGCTTAGTAACCGTTCGAAGTTACAACGGCAATGAAAAAGGTGACTTTATGACCCTTTTTCACACTTACGACTGTTGCAGCATCCCCCACGGTCCATTATGTAGTGCAGATCATCCGAAGCGTCCCCTTTCATTTTGGGGTACCGAAAGAAAGCACACACGCTCTGAACTCAACTCTCCTCTTTTTCGTTTCAGGCCCCCGACGTGAGCAGCGCCGAAGAGTTCCCCATTTTTGGCACCGGCGTGGTCCCTAAGCAGGCATCGGTTTGGGGCCCTAAGAAGTTTTGAGGTCAGGGACCACCACCATGGCTGGCTCTCCGGGCAAGGCCTCGTAGGGCAGGGGGGGGGCTCCGTGGCACCCTCAGCTTCCTGCCGCCAGCTGCCTCTTGCTGTCCAAGACTGTCTCCTCTTCTTCCTCCTCCTCCTCCTCCTCCTCCTCGCCTGCACTCCTCTCTGTGACTCTGCAAAACCATTAACCGATCAAAAAAAAAGCCATAGCCTCCCTCCAGTTCCTTTCTTCTCATGGAGCCAAAAGTAGGCCAGGTTGTAAGCACACGTATGTAAAGGAGCCACGTGCAGCTTGTGGGGTTTCCCCCCCCCCTCCTCTCCATTTGCCAGATTTCAGGGCATTAAAACTCCTAGCTAGACCCCGCTTCCGCCTCTCGGTTCCAAGAAAGGAGTAAGGCCCCAAACTTTTCTTAGCCGGTTCCTTCTCCTCCCGGGGTGCTGAGCGTGGGCATGCATCCAGATCTCCTGGAAGAGTTGGAGGTTTTTGGGGGTTCGGACTTGCTGAGGTTGAAGCACAGTTCCTCCTCGCCCACCCAAACCACCGCCGCCTGCTTTCGGATGCCAGGAGCGGCTTAAATCTTGGCTTGTTTTCCTGGCCCTGTTAGTGAATTTGGAGCTGGGAAGGAGCAAAACCGGAAGAAGCATCGTTGCGAGGAGAAAGCGTGTGTGTGAAGACCTAGGAACAAGATTCTGGCTTGGCGTGGGTGGAAGTCCCACTTTAGAAGCAGGTAGCACTGAGAAACTTTGGCAACTATCAGCCTTCCTCCTCCTCCTCTTCCTCCTCCCTTTTTTCACGTCCGTCTGGAGTCTGGGAATGTTTTTAATATTTTTTTCTCTCTTCCTCCTCCATTTTCAGCTGTTTCCCATCTCCTTCCCCCCCCCCTCGCTCCCTCTTTCTTCCCTTCCCCGTGTCTTCCTTCCACTTGCTTTGAACTGTGTGTGTGTGTGTGTGTGTGGAAATATGCAACTCTTGGCCCAAGAGGCAGAGGTTCTCTTTGACTCCCCTTCCGGTGACTAGTCCTCATCATCCTTCCCAGGTTTTAAACTGTGATTTCTCGAGTGAGAGAGAGTGTGTGTGTGTGTATTTGAGTGTTTGTCCACACAAGAGTGCGTGTAAACGAGAAAGGCGAAGATGCGAGTTAAGACACACACCCCTCCCCAGCTCCATCTCTTCTCCCCCACTCCTCCCCCACATCCAGGTTGCCCTATCTGTGCGTGACGGGGCACACAACGTAACAAGTGAAAAAAAAAAGGAAAAAGAAACACAACCTAGCGGAGCGACATAACCCGGTTTTTCATTTTTCTTTTTCTTTTTTTTCTTCTGAAGAAGGCAGGGTTTTGGGGGAGAAATGAAAATATGACGAAAATCAGAAGACACTATTGGCCTTAAACAGGAAAAAACAACAACACCCGGGTGGGGCATAAGAGGGAGAAAAAAAAGAAACTTAAGTTTGACAAAAGGAAATATGCAAACTCTGTAGGTCACACCGTGACCAGAATTTTTTTTTTTTTTTCTAATTCCAAATTAAAAAAAAAAAAACAGTGTGGGGGAAATAAAACTCTTTGGGTGGATTTTTGATGCGCCAGTCAAGCTGCCTGGGGGGGTCTTTTGGCTTTCTCCAGGCTGAAAAGGAAATCCAACGTGTTGTAGCTGCTGTTCTTCTGTTGCCATTCCGGTGGAGAAGCGAATACAGGCAGTCCTTGATTTACAACCATTCATTTAGTGACCGTTCACAGTTACAACGGTACTGAAAAAAGGTGACTTAGGACCATTTTCTCACTTAACGACCGTTGCACCGCCCCCATGTTCACGTGATTATATATTCAGATGCTTGAAAGGTGCTTCACATTTACGATGGTCGCCGCGTCCCGGTGTCATGCGATCCCCTTTTCTGACAAGTAAAGTCAAGGGGGGAAGCCAGACTCACTTAACAACCATACTAATTTAATAACAATTTAACAATGGTATAGGGCAGGGGTAGGCAATCTTGGCTCTTTTATGACTCGTGGACTTCAACTCCCAGAATTCCTGAGCCAGCCACGCTGAGAGGACAGGGAGAGGTTTCCATGCTTAGTCATGCTGGCTCAGGAATTCTGGGAGTTGAAGTCCACGAGTCATAAAAGAGCCAAGGTTGCCTACCCCTGCTCTAAACTAATAAAGTCTACATTAATTAACATTAATTATGCTTTCATATGTTCCTTTAACTGAGGGGTCTTCAAACATGGCTCTTTTATTGACTCGTAGACTTCAACTCCCAGAATTCCTGAGCCAGCCACGCTGAGGGGAAAGGGAGAGGTTTCCAAGCTGAGCCATGCTGGCTGAGGGATTCTGGGAGTTGAAGTCCACGAGTCATAAAAGAGCCAAGGTTGCCTACCGCTGGTATAGGGTTTCCTGCCTGAGCAGGGGGTTGGACTAGAAGACCGCCAAGGTCCCTTCCAACTCCCTTATCCTATTCTAACTGCATTGATTCGGTTAACGAACGTGACAAGAAAAGTCATAAAATGGAGCAAAACAAATATCTCGCTGAGCAACCGTCACACGATCAAAATTCGGACACTTGGCAACTGGCATGCACATTTAGTCCTTGACTTAATGACCAGAACTTCCTTTGCTAAGCCAGGCAGTTGTTAAAAGGGAGCTTCATCCTATTATATGATCCTTCCCCCCCCCCCGATTGTTTAATCGAATCACTGGTCGTTACGTAAACCGTGCTGTCATTGACATGGAATCCAACTTCCCCCATTGACTTTGCTTGTCACATGTCAGCGGGGAAGGTCACAAATGGCGAGCCCATGTCCCCGTCACAGCACAACCGTCATAAATAGACAGACTTGAACACTGAGCATCATCTAACAAAATGAAATTCAGTGGTGAAAAAAGCAAGGTTCTACATTTAGGCAAGAAAAACCAAATGTACAGGTATAGTATAGGGGGTACCTTGCTCAACAGTAGTAACTGTGAGAGGGATCTCGGAGTCCTAGTGGACAATCACTTAAATATGAGCCAGCAATGTGCTGCAGCTGCCAAAAAGGCCAACACAGTGCTAGGCTGCATTAACAGAGGGATAGAATCAAGATCACGTGAAGTGTTAATACCACTTTACAATGCCTTGGTAAGACCACACTTGGAATACTGCATCCAGTTTTGGTCACCTCGCTGTAAAAAAAGATGTTGAAACTCTAGAAAGAGTACAGAGAAGGACAACAAAGATGATCAGGGGACTGGAGGCTAAAACATATTTATTTATTATTTAGATTTATATCCCGCCCTTCTCCCGTAGGACTCAGGGCGGCGGACAATCAATTAAAATACACAAATAACAATACGGATTTAAAATTAATTAAAAAGAATATTAGAGAATTGTCCAATTTAAAATTATTGATTAAAACCCCTCTAAAAATTACCCTAGGCCAGTCCTGCGAGCTGGAATAACCA